CCGGTGTTCTATACTTTGCCAATTTGTCGTCTTGCGTTCTGACCCCGACCTCGTGCGTCGAGGTCGGCCTCGGATGGTACTTCATACTTGTGTTGATATAACTAGAAGTCCTTGTCCGCTGATTATGATACCCCTGAGGTGTGTGAGAATATACTCCATCAATTGTAATTATTTAAATAAACATTATGATGTTCTAACAAAAAAAATTATGATTTATAATTTGTATGAGTAAATATTGAAGTAATTTTTTAAGGAAAAATATCAAAGCAACTAATAATCTAAACAATAAAAAAACATAAGATCCAATGTACTATTATGGTCCATACAATTAAAATGGGGTACCTGTATTATTTTAATTACATTTTTGACAAAACTTTCGTTTTTCCAAATTTTAAACTTCCGAAGGAATGGATTCCTTCCCATCTCCCTCCCATCCCCTTCTCTCTACTCCCCTCTCAAAGCCTCCCCTTCTGTAACGCCCCTCTCAGGATTAAAGGAAACGTTACTCTAACTTACTACTTTTAAAAATAACTGCAATATAATGGTCATCTATTTAAGAAAATAACCCTGATAAAATCTCAAATATAACTAAAATATATCTCCAAATAAAACTCAATAAAATCTAGTTATCATCAGCAAATGTGATAACCACCTGGTTCCAGGAATTTATTCAAATTTCAAATCCTCAAATAAAAATAAAGTAATATTTATCACTTTATTATAACACTGAAATACTGAAACAAAATAATATCTAGCTAGAAGCCGCCAAGGTCGTTCCCGTTAACTCATCTTGACACGCATTCCACTCTCTCATCATCTTCCTCGGCCTGGGCCTTACCCTTAGCTTTAGTATCTGTACATGCAAAGAAAGAAAACTGATAAGCTTTACGCTTAGTAAGTCACTATGGATCCACAAAAATATGTAGAAGTCTATGCCAATTTATCAACAGATAAATTTAGGCTATAAGCATGCACAAAACAAATAACTAACACACAACTTCTCAAATACATTCTTAGGGAGATCTCAAAAGGAAAATATTTTCTAAAATAATTTCTCGAAACTGCTGGAGAGATCTCAAAATTTCTTTCTCAAAACATCTCTGTAAAACTTTCTGAAAGAGATCTCAAAAACAACTTTCTGTAAAACTTTCTGAAAGAGATCTCATTAAACTTTCTGTAAAACTCTTTGTGGCTAATTTTAACTATGGGCCCGTGATATGTACTCAAAGGCGCCAATCCGACAGCTCAGGGGAGCGACCCACTAAACATATCGGACTATCTGAAACTGAAAACTGATAATCTGAGGGAACTTGTTCCCGAGTACATATCACCTGATCTTTCACTTTAAATATTAGTTCTTTTTATGGTGGTGACGTTTGATTAAAACATCATTAAATCTGAAAATAAAAGTACTGGCAAAATATTGACTATGCAAGATAATAAACATAACTTAATAGAGCAAATAAAATAACTCAGCAAATAATTCACCCGGTTCACATAATAGCATATAGACTAAAATCATCTATTAAAGATCAACCAGACTTCTTTCTTTTATTTAGTTGAACAAACATGTACAGGTGGTAGTGAACTTACCTGATAGAAGTTGAACTCAAAATACTCAGATAAATGTGGCACTTTGATAACGTCTCCCGGTAAGCTCTTCCTTAATAATCTTTAATTAGAGGTAATAATCTAATTAGCACTTGTTAACCTTTAAGAAAACTGGACACTGACTAATATTGTTCCATTGGAATTGTTCTTTAAACAAAATGAAAGTTTCCGAAGGGTCTAGGCGAAGACGAAGGAATACTATTTCTAATCCTTTCATTAATAAAACTACCCAACTTAACCTCTGAATTTTTAGTAGTAAATAAAAGTAGAGATAAATTTCTGAATTAAGAAATTTGGTGTCCGTTACTGAAAACTTGAAATCCGTTTGTATAGAAATAAAAGTTTGCTGCGCGCAAATCTGGTGTCGAAACCCAAGGACAGAAACCAGAGCACATCAAACTCTAAAATCTGTGTCAGCAACACTTACGCACACAACAAACTTTTATCTAAAGGGTACTAACTTTTATTGGCTTAAAGAGGAAATTTGCTCCACCCATCAATAAGTGTAAGGATGAAAAGTTGGGAAGCATTGCTCAACTAAAATAGAGAGTATCGATCAACATATACAATTGCTAGATACGGATGATTGGAATTTTTATTAAAACTGAATTTGAAAGAATCTAATTGATTACTCCCAAAATAAATCTCTTAATTACAAAACTAAAGTACAAAAATTCATTTACGAACATCTATTCTCACAGAGATAGAGAAAACGATTAGAGCAAAGAATAGATATACTTGATCAAAGATGTTATCATCTGAATAAAGCTTGGTGGGAAAAAAAATTGAACTTACCAGGTTTCAAAACCAAGAGAGCCAGAGCACTCGATTTGAAAGTGAGGGAATGTGCGGGAGAGAAAACTAGAGAGATTGGGGTACGATCGATTAAAAGAGAAGAAGAAGGTGGGGCTGGAATATAAACCGTGTATATAATATTTCTTACGGTTTTTTTTTAAGTGGTAATTACCCGTTTAGACCTCTTTTGCGTGTTGCATTTCATTTATGTCTCCGTTAGTTTTTCTTTTCAAATCTAAACTTTCACTTTATCAAATTTAACCTATTTTATTTCAAAATTAGCCTAACCACTAAATCAAAATCCTCATCTCACGCCTTTCGCCTTCCAAGTTCCAAGCGTCTTCCGATGTCTGGATTGTCCCTGCTCTCCCATCATCATTTCTCAAACCCTCGCCTCTCCCCTTATCAAAATTGATGCGAAGGAGGAGCAGTAGATGATAGCAGAAATCAATTGGAGAATAGTTGTTCCAAAACTTTCATTGCCTCCTCTCATTGTCGTCCCTCCTTCCATGTAAGAATCTTCTAAGCTACTCTTACATGACCATATATCCTCATCATCTCGGATTCTCTACCACTTCGAATTCTGGAGGATGATCTCGAGACTACCTATCGCTTTAAACGAGTGGTACTCTGTATGACGGTGGTGGCGTCAGAAATTGTGTTGTTGGAGCCGATTTGAGTGCCTTTTTCGGTGAGGAACTGGTTTCAGTCATAAGGGTGTGGTATTACTGGTATAGGGAAGAAGAGACGAAGGAATAAGCAAGCAGCTGACCAGCCTTAGGATTTGTAGCTCAGGTGGTTCTGGTAAGCTTCTCATTGTGATTATTTTTATTGCTGAATTAATAAGTGAATAATATAACTGTATTGATCAGGGGTCCATTTGAAGAAATTTATGGTTAAGCATATTTATATTTAGATTTCAGCACAGCCTCACAAGTACTTGGAATGAAATCAAAGAAAATACACCAGTATATGCACATTTCTTTCAGAAGTGTTATGTTTTTAATGTACGTAGTAACATATTGCTTGATGCAGTTTAAGATAATCCAGAGGAAGCTATATTTGTCAAACTCATTTAATTTTTTACGTGGACGTGTGTCCAATGACTCCAATCATCTGCAATAACCTGTGTGTTTGCTTTTCCTACTAGTAAATGGCCAAAAAGAGTTATATGTGATATCTAATTTATTGTGATTCTTTATGAAATTTGTCATGTGATTCATTGGTTTCCTAATCTGATTTGAGCCAGGGCTTTTGGGGGATGGATATGTTTTATAAGAATGTCAAGAACACAAACACATTTTTATATGAAATTTGTAGCTTCATAACCATTTATTGCAAATTTAAATGCCTAATGCATGGAATATTTGGGATTAAGTAATAGGTTTATTTGGTAACTTCATCCGGTAAAATACAGAAGCATTATTTCAATTAATTGTAGGATTTTCTTATGACAAGTTCACTTCTTTTTTTACAAATATAGCTTGCACCAGTAGTATCCTCTGCAGTTTTTTAATACTCTAATTTCAACTCATTTCTTCCTTGGTTGGATCCCCTCGTATTTTCGTAGCTTAGGAAGATTAGTCAAGTAAAACTTTTGCAGGAGAATTAGCAAAATCTGTTATTACTATATAAAGATTTATAGGGTTAGATTGTAGTTGATTAGATAGTCTGCCCAAACAATAAGATTGTAAGAAACTTGTATGTATATTTCTTGATCATGTTGCGTTGTCTTTGTTCATTCATCGCTTTAGTGATTGAATTTTCTGTGACTGTCCTTGAAGATATTTGTGACACCGCACCCGAACGTCCTTGAAAATTCAAATTTAAAAATTTGAATTTTATGTATTGAATTTCTGATTCCCAAACAATTGTGAAACGATTGTTGTTTTACGTAATTAATGATTTATTATTATACTGTTCGAACTCGTGTATTAGTATCGGGCCTTATTAATAAATAAAAGAGCCTAGCATTTTCTAAATAGTGATACATAACGTTTCAAGACAAGTTGAGGAGGGGCGGGCGGCCCAGATATTATTTTGGGCTCAACCCGCTAAAATAGCAAGTATTCGAGAATGGCGTCGTAGGCCCACTCGGGGGCGACCCACACGGCTTGTAGCCCAATGATATGGATGACAAATGTCAAAATAAGTGATAGGATGAGTTGAGATGAATACAAATGTCTATGATACCATCTTTGACATTATTGAGCTAGATAATGGGAGTAAGATTTTCCCTCTATAATGTCCATCAAGTAAATTATTGAGATGAGCCTACACATATTGGAGATCAATAATGTGATGTAGGAAGTTGACTTGTTCTAAATAAATTAGGATGAGTACAAAAAGACATCTTTGACAAAAGATAAATTAATAGGACCCATCTTCCCATTTTTGGGAGTATTGGTAGATATTTTGGACCCCAAAATAATTGGGATCAATTGGGAACTACTCCACATGATTTTAGTACCTGCAAGACAAGAAAAATAAGTGAGGAGACTTACCTTGGCCGCACAAGCTGGAGGAGGGCTGCACAAGACTTGATTGGAATCAAACTTGAGACCCACCTTGTCAATTTCCGCACAAATTATGGGTGTGGTTTGTCTCCCTCCTCAAGGGGAGTTGTACTCGTCCAAATGAGGTGTATAAGGTGTCCTTGGATAGCTTTTGAAGTCTATTTTTATAATTGAGTGGTCTCTGTTCGAGAGGAGAGGGTAATCATCCAAAAATCGATCTGGAACGAGCAGTGGTCTGTGAACTCGAGCTGTGAGAGTGCTGAGACTGTTTGGTTGATATCTCGAGTTTTACCAATCCAATTAAGGCGTGTGAGATACCAAAAGAAAGCTCTCAAGACGAGGAATCCGTGAAGGTCTGGTTTGCATCAATCGGAGTAGAGGAAGGCTTCCAAATCGTCCGAGCAGAACGCGACCTCGCAGGGACGGATTTACTCTTCCAAGTGAGTTTTTAATCCCAAAACTTTTCCATTCATTTTCCAAATGATATGAACGATTGGTGGGACTATTATACACTACTCCAAGTGTATAAAACATCCCTATTAAGTTATTTTATTTATGTAAAGGTTAGATACTAACCTAGATGCAAATATTGGAAAACTAGGAATCGAGTTAGCCGGAAAACACCCGTTCTAGGGGCTGTTTTCGTATCAACGATTAGGGGTTGAAATAGCAACTTGAGGAGGCTGTTTAGCACCCATTTCTAAGCAAGGAATCAGTTCTCAAGCTTCCTTGGCCGAGGCTTTGGTCATTGGATCGAGAAGGAAAGTTTTAAAGCTCATTTGAGGTGAGGATCGACATCTAGTTGCTTACAACTTGTAGGTTAAGCATGAGATTACCTAAATGCCTAAATAATGTTTTCCATGGATTATGATGATAAACTATTGATGGAATATTGATCTATTTGCCAAAGAATGAAATGGGAAATGATTTGGTAAAGTATTGATAAAAATGGAGTTAAATGAACTATTGTGTGAAATAGGCATTTTACTCATGTGTGCATTGTGTAGATACATAAATGATTATTTATGTATTACATTGAATGATTAAGTTGCTGCTACATATCTCTAAATATGTAGGGTTTTACAAATGGAATATATGATGGATAAGAATAATCTTAATAGTATTGAAATACTAGTTAATGATTGTTGTAATTGTTAAGGAATTGAATCTATGGATTTGATTGAAATTGATGAACTTGATTGTGATGCAAGTGACTAAATTGATGTAATGTGATGCTAAGACCATGGTTGGGCAGTCCGTAAGGACGTCCCAAAATAGATTATTGATATTACAATTCTAGGCATAGTGAGTGCTTAGGAATTGGGGTCTATGCCAATGTAAGGAGATGTACTTGAGCCGTGCTCATAGAATTGCATTGGGTAGACATGATGAGGTGATTGTAGTGCTTAGGAATTGGGGTCTATGCCAATGTAAGGAGATGTACTTGAGCCGTGCTCATAGAATTGCATTGGGTAGACAGGATGAGGTGATTGTAGTGCTTAGGAATTGGGGTCTATGCCAATGTAAGGAGATGTACTTGAGCCGTGCTCATAGAATTGCATTGGGTAGACATGATGAGATGATTGTTGTGCATGGTGATGTAGTCGAGTTGGACTCGAGAATGCAAACATATGTGTTAGGGTTGAACCCTATGTATTGTTGTGACTAGGGGTCACGGGATTTTGGGGTATGTTTGAAGAACAAACCTTGGGCCTATGGGCCGACTACTTGACTTTATATATAAAGTAAGTATATTTTTTAAAAAGGGGTAACTTGGGGTTACGGCCTATATTATACTATCACCCTATTTGAGGGTCTTGTGTTTGAAATACTTGTTGTATATCTATTAGATGCCATCCACACCAGCACTTTATAGCCCTATAGAGTGCTGACCCCTTCGGGGGCGTCCCACCACCATTTTTCAGGTTGAGGCTAGAGCTTGCTTCCTGTGCTCGTTGCTCGAGAGATCATCTAGGAGCGAAGACTTGGTTCGTGCTTCCTCCATTCGGGTTTTAAACATTAATAAACATGCTCATGGATATTTTACTATAGAGCCTGCGTGCTCATGAATAGCCCGGTGTGGCCTTTTGTTTTAAACAATGTTTTCCGCTGCGTTATGAATTACTTATTATGTTTTGTTTATGGATGTATATGTGTGAATGATATTCAAGACGCCTTGTATATTATGAATGTGTTGAACTGCGGTTGACTATTCATATTGTACGGCGGGTTGTTGACGCGTCCGGATAGGTCCGGGGCGTGACAATTAAGTTGGTATCAGAGCCTTAGTCCATAAACTTCATAATGAAGTCTCAAAATTCTCTTTTCAAAATGATTTTTGAAAACCATGAGCAAAAACGTTTTGTACTTAAGAACTTTTGGTGTTTGAGTTGCAAGGTCTCTAATTGTTAAGATGGCGCCCTTAACGATTGGTATGGCGGTGACTTGGCCCAAGAGATGTCTTAAGTGCCTATCTGTCAGTTGACATTTGAAACGAGTCCAATGACTCATTCTAATTATTTCTTTCAGCGATGGTGGGTGATGGTGGTATTATGAATAGGGAGAACTCGGAAGGGCTTGCATCGGGTGGAACCGGGCATGCCAACCGAGAAAAGCCTTTAGGACCAAAGGTGCATGAAATTCTTGAAGCTCAAATCGTGAGTGGTGGTCATGTTAAGACCAAGGAAGAATCACCTTGTTATGGCAAAACTGAACCACTCAAGGCTTCGGGTGACGAAGGAGATGGTTTGAGTGATGAGGACCTTGATAATGCACCCATTGAACAAATGGGCATGGTCATAAATTGGCTTCAACGTGAACGTGCAAGACTTATACAAAAACGCCAAGCTAGGCAAGCTAAGGACGCACCATTAGGAAGGAAAAGAAAATGGGGAGACCACGACCCCCAAGGACATTCTAGGAGGACAAATGTTGAGGGTGACAAAACCTTCGGGGTACACACATTATCGCTTGGGAGGAGTCGAGGCTCGGGTGGCCAGAACTCGAGGTCAAAAGGTTCGAGAGTACCAAAGTGCACAAATTGTAAGAAGCACCACCCGGGTAAGTGTTGGGACCCTCCTAGGTGCTACCGATGCAGAGAGATTGGGCACACGAATGCGAATTGCCCACAACTTATACCCGACCAAACTTTGGGCTCAAGTAGTACGACTATAGGCATACGGAGTCAAGCCGGGGCCTCTCGAGCAAGTAAGGAACATGGCGGAGCAAGTGTGAGCAACGCGCCGTCCGTGAATCAAGGGGGGACTCAAGCTAGGGTCTACGCGATGACGGAGGCGGATGCTCAAGCTAACCCGGATTCCGTTGCAGGTATTGCCTCTCATATACTAGTGTTTTACCCTTAATTAATCCATAAATTGAGGTTACTAATCGCTAGGATCATTGCACAAGGTTTTGGGGTCAAACCGGGGGATTTCGGGCAACTTCAGGCGGCTGGGACCCAGGCACGATCGTGCCTAAGGCAGACACGATCGTGCCTCCAAGTCAGTAGCTGCCCAGGAATTTCCCCAGCCCAGGCACGATCGTGCCTAAGGCAGACACGATCGTGCCTACAAGGCAGTAGCTCCCCATGTGTTTCTCCAAACCAGGCACGATCGTGCCTAAGGCAGACACGATCGTGCCTCCAAGGCAGTAGCCCCCAGGGCTTTTTCTTGAGCCAGGCACGATCGTGCCTACCCCAGGCACGCCGTGTCTGGCACCCAGATTGCCGAAATATGATTTTTCGCACCGTTTTGCGACGATAAGACCTTTTCTTGATCCCTAACATGCGTGTGAACATTGTAACCTCCTATAAATGATTAGGGAGGGTAGGAGAAATGTCTTACATGGTTCATGAATGTAGGGACACTAAAGATTAATGGGAAGGATGCGCGAATCCTTATCGATACCGGGGCGCAACGTTCATTTGTGAATGAAGCGGTCGCCAAGAGGTTGGGGGTGCAATCCGCACCATTGATGCAAACCTTAGTGGTATCAACACCATTAGGAGATGACGTGGAAAGAACTTGTTATTATCCATCTTGTGGGGTGGAGGTTAATGGTCAAACCTTGACGTGTGACTTCGTACCGCTGGGCATGATTGAATTCGATGCAATCCTAGGGATGGATTGGCTAGGAGGGAACCATGCTAGGGTAGATTGCTACACGAAGGTTCTTGAACTCGAAGGCAATGATGGGGAGACCCTACGCTTCGAGGGCGATCGAGGGAGATCAAATAGCTGTATCATATCCGCCGTGAGAGCGAGAAATATGATGAGAAAGGGATGTCACGCATATCTAGCATACGTGGTTGACAAAACCAAAGAGGAAACGATCATTGATGATGTGAGGGTGGTTTGCAAGTATCCGGATGTCTTCCCTAAAGACCTACCGGGGCTGCCACCTGACAGGGAGATTGAATTTGTGATCGAGGTCGAGCCTGGTACCAAACCAATCTCCATACCGCCATATCGTATGGCACCCGCGGAACTTAACGAGTTGAAAACCCAATTGCAAGAGCTTTTGGATAACGGTTTCATTAGACCAAGCCACTCCCCGTGGGGAGCACCAGTTCTTTTTGTGAAAAAGAAAGATGGGACACTTCGAATGTGTATTGACTATCGTCAACTGAATAAGGTCACAATCAAGAATAGGTATCCTTTGCCTAGAATTGATGACTTGTTTGACCAACTACGAGGGGCAACCGTGTTTTCAAAGATTGATTTGAGGTCGGGTTACCATCAATTGAAGATTAAGGAAGACGACATTTTGATTTACTCAAAGAGTGAGGAAGAGCATGAAGAGCACTTGATACTCGTTCTTGAGACACTACGGGAGAAGCAACTTTATGCCAAATTTTCTAAATGTGAATTTTGGCTAAAGGAAATTGGCTTTCTCGGGCATGTGGTTTCGGGATCGGGAATTGCTGTTGATAATAAGAAGATAGAGGTCATTACCGAATGGGAGAGACCAAAGAATGTCAAGGAAATTCGTAGTTTCCTTGGATTGGCAGGCTATTACAGAAAGTTCGTGGAAAAGTTCTCTGTTTTGGCGTCGCCGTTGACGAAGCTCACTCGAAAGGGAGCTAAGTTTATATGGGATGACAAATGTGAGAAAGGATTCATCGAACTGAAGAAGAGATTGACCGAGGCACCGGTACTTGCATTACCCAAACAGGGTGTGGGGTACGATGTCTATAGTGACGCGAGCATCCAAGGGTTTGGGTGTGTGTTGATGCAGGAAGGGAGGGTAATTGCCTATGCTTCACGACAGTTGAAGAAGCATGAGGTAAATTATCCTACCCATGATCTGGAGTTGGGAGCGGTGGTGTTTGCACTGAAGATATGGAGACATTATCTCTACGGGGAGACATGTCACATATACACTGATCACAAGAGCTTGAAGTACGTGTTTACTCAGAAAGAGCTAAACATGAGACAGAGACGGTGGATGGAGCTGATAAAAGACTACCATCTAGTGATAGAGTACCACCCAGGCAAGGCAAACGTGGTGGCAGATGCTTTGAGCCGGAAGAGCTCGTCTGGGGCATTGCTAGCTAATTTGAGGGCATTAAGAGCCCAACTGGAGGTATCCAGCGATGGTGCCTTATTGGCACGATTTGAGGTGAGACCTACTTTACTTGATGAGATCAAGAAGGGTCAGGAAACCGACGAAGAAATTATGAAGATCCGGGAACGCATGCAAGCGGGACCGGTGGAGGACTTCAGAGAAAGAGATGACGGTCTCTTATTATTTCGTGACCGAGTGTGTGTACCGGCAGATGAGGAGCTCCAAAAGTCCATCTTAGAGGAGGCTCATTCATCGGCTTATGCCATGCACCCGGGGGGGGGCACGAAAATGTACCGTGACTTGAAAGAAAGTTACTGGTGGTCTGGAATGAAGAGGGAAATAGCCGAATACATCAGTCGGTGCCTTACTTGTCAACAAGTTAAGGCGGAACATCAGCACCCAGCAGGCTTATTGCAGCCACTTTCCATTCCTGAATGGAAGTGGGAACTCGTGACTATGGATTTTGTGGTAGGATTGCCACGGACAATCAGGAACTATGATGCAGTTCGGGTCGTTGTAGATAGGCTCACGAAGAGTGCACACTTCTTGCCTATCAACACTACTTACCCACTTGAGAGGTTAGCCAAATTGTATACGGATGAGATCGTGAGGCTGCATGGGGTCCCAGTGACCATTGTATCCGATAGAGACCCACGATTCCTATCACGTTTTTGGCCAAAATTTCAGGGGTCTATGAGAATGAGGTTGAAGTTCAGTACTGCTTTCCATCCACAGACGGAGGGGCAGTCAGAAAGGGTTATACAGATCATAGAGGATACGTTGAGGGCTTGTGCATTGATTGGAGTTCCAAGGAGGTTGGGACAACCACTTGACACTTGTGGAATTTGTCTGTAACAACAGTTATGAGGCAAGCATCGGTATGCCACCATGCGAGGCATTGTATGAAAGGAGGTATCATACACTGTTATGCTGGGGTGAGGTTGGCTTGACCAAACTCGAGGGTACTGAGTTGGTTGAGGTCACCAAATCAAAGGTGAAATTGATTCGAGAGAGACTCAAAGCGGCTCAGGATAGGCAAAAGAGTTATGCAGATAAGCGTCGAAGAACCTTAGAGTTTAAGGTTGATGACGAGGTATTCTTGAAAGTTTCTCCTTGGAAAGGGATCATTCGATTCCAAACCCGAGGGAAGCTTAACCCTCGATACATAGGTCCATTCAGGATTATAGAGAGGATTGGGGCCGTAGCATATCGTCTACAGTTGACTCCTGAGTTGGAGAAGATTCACAATGTATTTCACGTGTCCATGCTTAAGAAGTATGTGCATGATCCTTCTCATGTGTTGGAGAAGCCACCTGTAGAGGTACGTGAGGATTTGAACTACGCGGTTCAACCTATCAAGGTCACCGATAGAAAGGTGAAGAAACTGAGGAGCAAGGAAGTCCCAATGGTTAAGGTACTTTGGAAGAGCGATCGGGTCGAAGAAGAGACGTGGGAAACAGAGGCTTTGATGAGGAAGCAGTATGCTTTCCTATTCGAGTAGAGCTGTGAATTTCGGGGACGAAATTCCTGTTAAGGGGGGGTGAACTTGTGACACCGCACCCGAACGTCCTTGAAAATTCAAATTTAAAAATTTGAATTTTATGTATTGAATTTCTGATTCCCAAACAATTGTGAAACGATTGTTGTTTTACGTAATTAATGATTTATTATTATACTGTTCGAACTCGTGTATTAGTATCGGGCCTTATTAATAAATAAAAGAGCCTAGCATTTTCTAAATAGTGATACATAACGTTTCAAGACAAGTTGAGGAGGGGCGGGCGGCCCAGATATTATTTTGGGCTCAACCCGCTAAAATAGCAAGTATTCGAGAATGGCGTCGTAGGCCCACTCGGGGGCGACCCACACGGCTTGTAGCCCAATGATATGGATGACAAATGTCAAAATAAGTGATAGGATGAGTTGAGATGAATACAAATGTCTATGATACCATCTTTGACATTATTGAGCTAGATAATGGGAGTAAGATTTTCCCTCTATAATGTCCATCAAGTAAATTATTGAGATGAGCCTACACATATTGGAGATCAATAATGTGATGTAGGAAGTTGACTTGTTCTAAATAAATTAGGATGAGTACAAAAAGACATCTTTGACAAAAGATAAATTAATAGGACCCATCTTCCCATTTTTGGGAGTATTGGTAGATATTTTGGACCCCAAAATAATTGGGATCAATTGGGAACTACTCCACATGATTTTAGTACCTGCAAGACAAGAAAAATAAGTGAGGAGACTTACCTTGGCCGCACAAGCTGGAGGAGGGCTGCACAAGACTTGATTGGAATCAAACTTGAGACCCACCTTGTCAATTTCCGCACAAATTATGGGTGTGGTTTGTCTCCCTCCTCAAGGGGAGTTGTACTCGTCCAAATGAGGTGTATAAGGTGTCCTTGGATAGCTTTTGAAGTCTATTTTTATAATTGAGTGGTCTCTGTTCGAGAGGAGAGGGTAATCATCCAAAAATCGATCTGGAACGAGCAGTGGTCTGTGAACTCGAGCTGTGAGAGTGCTGAGACTGTTTGGTTGATATCTCGAGTTTTACCAATCCAATTAAGGCGTGTGAGATACCAAAAGAAAGCTCTCAAGACGAGGAATCCGTGAAGGTCTGGTTTGCATCAATCGGAGTAGAGGAAGGCTTCCAAATCGTCCGAGCAGAACGCGACCTCGCAGGGACGGATTTACTCTTCCAAGTGAGTTTTTAATCCCAAAACTTTTCCATTCATTTTCCAAATGATATGAACGATTGGTGGGACTATTATACACTACTCCAAGTGTATAAAACATCCCTATTAAGTTATTTTATTGATGTAAAGGTTAGATACTAACCTAGATGCAAATATTGGAAAACTAGGAATCGAGTTAGCCGGAAAACACCCGTTCTAGGGGCTGTTTTCGTATCAACGATTAGGGGTTGAAATAGCAACTTGAGGAGGCTGTTTAGCACCCATTTCTAAGCAAGGAATCAGTTCTCAAGCTTCCTTGGCCGAGGCTTTGGTCATTGGATCGAGAAGGAAAGTTTTAAAGCTCATTTGAGGTGAGGATCGACATCTAGTTGCTTACAACTTGTAGGTTAAGCATGAGATTACCTAAATGCCTAAATAATGTTTTCCATGGATTATGATGATAAACTATTGATGGAATATTGATCTATTTGCCAAAGAATGAAATGGGAAATGATTTGGTAAAGTATTGATAAAAATGGAGTTAAATGAACTATTGTGTGAAATAGGCATTTTACTCATGTGTGCATTGTGTAGATACATAAATGATTATTTATGTATTACATTGAATGATTAAGTTGCTGCTACATATCTCTAAATATGTAGGGTTTTACAAATGGAATATATGATGGATAAGAATAATCTTAATAGTATTGAAATACTAGTTAATGATTGTTGTAATTGTTAAGGAATTGAATCTATGGATTTGATTGAAATTGATGAACTTGATTGTGATGCAAGTGACTAAATTGATGTAATGTGATGCTAAGACCATGGTTGGGCAGTCCGTAAGGACGTCCCAAAATAGATTATTGATATTACAATTCTAGGCATAGTGAGTGCTTAGGAATTGAGGTCTATGCCAATGTAAGGAGATGTACTTGAGCCGTGCTCATAGAATTGCATTGGGTAGACATGATGAGGTGATTGTAGTGCTTAGGAATTGGGGTCTATGCCAATGTAAGGAGATGTACTTGAGCCGTGCTCATAGAATTGCATTGGGTAGACAGGATGAGGTGATTGTAGTGCTTAGGAATTGGGGTCTATGCCAATGTAAGGAGATGTACTTGAGCCGTGCTCATAGAATTGCATTGGGTAGACATGATGAGATGATTGTTGTGCATGGTGATGTAGTCGAGTTGGACTCGAGAATGCAAACATATGTGTTAGGGTTGAACCCTATGTATTGTTGTGACTAGGGGTCACGGGATTTTGGGGTATGTTTGAAGAACAAACCTTGGGCCTATGGGCCGACTACTTGACTTTATATATAAAGTAAGTATATTTTTTAAAAAGGGGTAACTTGGGGTTACGGCCTATATTATACTATCACCCTATTTGAGGGTCTTGTGTTTGAAATACTTGTTGTATATCTATTAGATGCCATCCACACCAGCACTTTATAGCCCTATAGAGTGCTGACCCCTTCGGGGGCGTCCCACCACCATTTTTCAGGTTGAGGCTAGAGCTTGCTTCCTGTGCTCGTTGCTCGAGAGATCATCTAGGAGCGAAGACTTGGTTCGTGCTTCCTCCATTCGGGTTTTAAACATTAATAAACATGCTCATGGATATTTTACTATAGAGCCTGCGTGCTCATGAATAGCCCGGTGTGGCCTTTTGTTTTAAACAATGTTTTCCGCTACGTTATGAATTACTTATTATGTTTTGTTTATGGATGTATATGTGTGAATGATATTCAAGACGCCTTGTATATTATGAATGTGTTGAACTGCGGTTGACTATTCATATTGTACGGCGGGTTGTTGACGCGTCCGGATAGGTCCGGGGCGTGACAATATTTGTTACTACACTTTGACTTGCAAACTCAAGGCAGTTAATAATAGTGTTATCAGAAGGCAAGGATCTATGTATAGCATGTGCTCATCATATTCCGGTATGCTAGCCCATGTCATCTAAATCGCAGAGAAGTGTGCTTCCGATTATGGTTACTATCTTGCTCAGGCCACACATTATCTTTCATAGATGCTCTTGATTGTAAATTCTTTATGATACTTGTTATAAAATGTTATAAAAGAGGAACTTTCCCCAGATTAATAATACTTTTCAATTTAAGCATATTTTCCATTAAGAGATGGTGGAATTCATTGAAAGTTTAATTAAATCAAATCATTCCAGTTTGTTACTATCATCTATCAGATGTATTGGGAAAATGAGAAGAGCTGATCATGAAGCTGCTATTTCTGCAGGACTCCAGTCTATCCTTGTGGCTTTTAGTTGCACTGAAGTTTCAGGTAAGAAATTGCATGCAGCTGGAGAAAGCACTCTAGCCTCAATCTTTGAAAAGCTTAAACATGTCATCCTCCAATTCTCCACTCTCCCTTCCAGCACTTCTTTTTTTTACTTGTAATTATTGGTTTCATATTGATTGTATTTATTGCTTTCTCATCTCAGGTGCATAATAGAAGTACATGGAGATGATAATTAAACTAAGAAGATCAACTAAGTCATGAGGACATGAGAGACAATTATAATGGATTCTACATTAAGATGCTGCATGCATATACAAGGCAGAAAAAATGTGATCAAGCAAGGCCAAATAATATACTATCTAATAGATAGATGTAATAAATTCAAATAATTGATTGAATTATATATTAACTATGATACATTTTATGTTGATTTTGGTTTCATTTTGTTGTATCAAAACTGTTTCTTTTTGTTGCATTGTGTTGCTTTTTGTTGCATTGTGTTGCTTTTTGTTGCAATGTGTTGCTTATTGTTGTTTATTGTTAATTTTGTTTGTTGTTAATATTAAGGTTTTTATTTATCTTAGCTACTACTTCCTGGTAATAAAACAACCTTATATAGATTTGTTGACATTATAAATTTAGATTTAAGAATGTAAAGACAACTAGAAACAAAAATAAACAGTAAAGAATAAAATCTTCAGGATGACCAACAAAAAGAAACAAATTTAAATTTTTATATTTTTAGTATTTTGGTTTATATTTTAAATATAATTTATGTTTTTTCAATTTTTGAGATTTTTTCAGTTTTTTACTATTTAGATTTATTATTTTCTACTCCGTATTACCGTATATACTTTCGCTTTTGTTTTGTAATATGAATTAGTTTTATAAAAATATTATTTTATTTTATTTTATTTTCTTAAAACTCTTTAAACAATTATATTACAACAAATCTTATATTTTGCAAATCTAAATATGATTTATTTTTTTATTTTTTGAGTTCTGTACTTAAAAGCTTTGAGTACGTATTTTTAAATTTTCTGTAGAATCCAAAACTTAAATATATTTTTTATTTTTAATATTCATTTACAAGTTTTAGCCTTTGTTGTTGTTATTATTATTATTATTATTATTATTGTTATTATTATTATTATTATTATTATTATTATTTATTACGGAGTATTAAGCATTTTCTATGTTTTCTTACTTCTCATATTTTCTATTTTAATTTTATATTTTTTATTTTTATTTTTAATTATCTTAATTTGTTTTTTTACGTTTTCATTCATTTTTACAATTGTTTTATTTCTACGTTATCGTACATTTATACAATTTTATTTTATTTTTTAATGTTTTGATACTTTTTACATTTTCATATATTTTTAAGATTTTATTATTTATTATTTTGATATTTTTAGATTTCCATTTTTCTTATATATATTTTTACAATTTTTCCTATTTAAAAACTTAAATTGAATGAATCCAGGAGCTTAGCTTGGAGTCCGTATAATTTTACGGAGTATAAAAAAGGTGCATTAAAGAGGATCTTTATGTACGCCTTTTGGGAATAGATTCCACTGGATGAGTTTTATAGCCTTACGTGAGTACTTGTCTATTTGTGAAAAGAAAAAGTACAACTTGTCTACTTTTGAAAGAAAATGTTTAAGGTGACAAAAGTGATATTACTTTTCCGTTTAAGACTACTTCTGAAATTTTCCCTTTTTTTAAAGCACAATACTAATTCGGGCCAAGATAACTGATCTGGAGTGTCTTAGACTTCTTAATAAATTGAATCTGACCCAACCGAATTATTATATTCTGCCTCTTAAGAGTATACTAATAAAATATATATTATCAATTATTCCTTTACTTAAAATTGTTGGAACTTACCGGTTAACGTTACCTGCCACAAACAAAACTTGGAAAAATAATATATCACATTATTCACACAAGTAACTTATTTAGCTGACTAAAATAAATAATAATGATTACCATAACTAGCTCATAAAAATAGGGGTGTTACACCTTCCTTCACACCAAACTCCCAAATATACCTTAAAGGCCATTGTACGTAAAATTATAATATTGACAGCCATTCATTACTTCTACTATTTCATAGTTAAAATTTATGCAAAATCCTCATGTTGTAAGTACACTCAAATATCGATGGAGTGTGAGCATGAGTTCACTTTTTGTTATGACGATTCCATGGAGTTAGTTATCGTCGAGCTGCAGAGTCTCTATTGTTAACAACAAGATTAATCTTTGTATGTTACTCCCTAGCTACGTTATATCATTACAAATTTATTAATAAAATTTACCGGTAATTTTACAAAGCCCTAACTCACTTTGAAATAGTAATGTTTTGTCTTGGTAATTCATTAAAGATTTACACTTAGCAAGCGTAGTTCATATGGACAATTTGGTCAAGTTCTCTATATAGTAACTTGATGAGCCTCAAGTGAAATTGCTTACCTTGTATCTTTAAAGGTAAATTTGATATTTTAATTAACAATCAACTTCACCCTAGAGCTGATCGAATACTTTCATTTCGAAGTCAAAATGACATCTTGGATCGGATGTTCAACCATGATAGACAGGAGAACACATATATAAAAATGTGTATAACAAGAATCAACTATATAAGGTACAATATGACTTAACTACTTATGTGGATGGGATTGTGTTATGTGGTTGGAATTTGCATAGTGGGTGATAATTAATAAGAGGCACAAATTACTTGAAAAAAGTTGGGAGGGATATTGAAGGAGAGAGTAGGCGAATAATAATCGAGGGAGTATTTAATAAAAGAAAAGGGGTCAAATAAGGACATGTACTGTATTGAAACCATCACATAAAGTTATCTACTAAAAAAAGTGTCAAAAATACCTTTACTTTTAAAAAAGAACCACATGTGTTCAACCGACCTGTTAATCACCTTCTCATCCCTGTTAGTACTTATGTGGCACTGTTTTTTGCCACACTTGGCTTTCTTTCCACGTCAGCCACCATCTTTCTCCTTAGATTTCTAAATCGACATGTCTGCAAAAGAGATGTGCTCCGTCTGTTTCACATAGGGTTTGGGCATCTAGGTAAGGATGAAATTCACAGGGGACGACAACGTCAGCGTGTATTGACCACGTAACATCTGTCGTTTTGGGGACGACAACAACGGTGGGTATGAGACTTGGCGCTTAGGACTTCTGGGGACGACAACCGTGAATTTATGGAGACTTGCTGCTTCATTTGTTCGTTGTTCGTCTAAGACTTCCGTCGTTTGGGCAAGTAAGTTAATTTTCGATCTTCAATTTAATTTATTTGGGCATGCTTGGGTCATTATGTATCTACGTTTATATATCTTCTTTATCCGGTCAAATTGTGAGTTCATGTTTATATGTTTGGGCTAGATGAGTATGTGGAAGCTACGTAGTTTGTTTGAAAATTTGGAATATCTTTTTTATGTTTGTATTTCCTTTTCGTTTTTCATGTTTATACGTTTGGTGATTGATTCACACCTGAATTAGTCTACTACATAATATGTATTTCCTTTTCTTTTCATAATGTTTGTGGAAGTAGAACTGAAAATACACCATCGGGGAAGAAAAAAGGCCTCAGATGCACTCCCGATATCCACGGAATCATCAGTGACAGTCTCAAAGAGAAAAAAGAGAGTGAAAAAAGTGTCTGCCAATCCTAGGAAGAAGAAAATAAGTCCAACTGAAGCCCCAACAACCCAACTGATGGACCATGCGCTATTTGTTAGGTCCTTGTTTTCTATTCTAAAATGTATGAGTATGGAAGACAGATCTGGGAATGAAGCTTTCCATTGATGGTGAAGGTTTTACAGAATGATGTGAAAACTTAGCGTAAAAACCTCACACGCAAATAGGCATTGCGGCACAGAGAATGTATTGAAAAGCTTAACCTAGCCATTCCTAAGGGGTCTATTTATAGCCTCCTTAGAATGGTAGGTTTTACAATGATATGGGCTCTCCTTTTTAGGAGGCCCATTCCTAATTTAGCTTAGTAGCCTTTTCCATTTAAGACCTATTCTATGATAAATAAATTATTACAAAAGGCTAAGTAACATTGATCACAATATAATGAAAATATCTCTAACAATCTCCCCCTTTGTGATCAGATGTTCTTGCTTCTTTTATTCTTCACTTCCGAGCTTTATAATAATGCTTTCTGAGATTGAGTGCATGCTCGTAGCTTCTGAGTGACCTTCTATCATTGATTTGCTTTTTGATGGCCTTCAGAATTTTATCAACTCTTTCCAGTTCCTTGAGTTCTTCCTTTGAGGCTTCAGTCTGTCTTTTATCCAATTCTTCTTTTCTTGGTTGCAACTGTTCCCGGATGATCTTCAGAGTCCCGTCACAGTATTTGCGAATGTCTTCAACAACCATCAAGCGCTTCTCCTCTTTGTGATTCAGATAGATGACTGAGACCGGATCGTCAAAGCTGTGGTATGCTGAGTAGGGTTCAAGTTCCGGTCTGTTCCATTCTGGTTGCGTGAGATTTGCCTTTGAATAGTTGTTTTCTAGGGCCATTTGAAGATCATGGGAAGCATAATATCGAACTTGTCTGGTCATAAATCTTTTTATAGCCTCAAAGCCTTCTTTAGCAATTCTGTCTTTGTGGACTGGGAGTTGTCTGCATGCCATGAACATCTGATAGATGTCATCCATGTGTAGTAAGAAGAAGTCGTTCTCTTGGCAGGTGAACTCGGTCCCGTCAGTGCGTTGTACCTGGAAAGTATAGAACCTGATAGTCTCGAGATAGTCTTTTGTTACCTTTAGAATCTTTAACACAGGAGCTATGCTTGTTTCAAGAGTATGATTCAGAATTCTGCATTGTTCGCCTGTTGATCTTTGGTAAAGCATAAAGATGTGTCCTCCTCTGTACTTTCCTTTAAAGTGGTTGAGTCCACAGTTCACTGAATTTTATGAGTTTCTCTGGTTGACGCCATATCCGCTCTCGAATTTCCTCTAGAAAGGGGGCTTTGACTCTAAGAATTTCCAAGGGCTTTTTAATTTCCTTTTGCTTGGTGATTGGTTCCGGCTCCTTGGAATTTTCCTGATAGTTCTCCCCTTCCTTGATTTCATCTTCATCGAGCCCAATCATTTCAGCAGCACACTTGGCAATCAGTTCTCTGAGACGCACACTTCGTTGTATTTCATCTTGGTCTACTTCTGCTCTTAGTTCATCCCACTCTGTCCATTGGCGGGGCCACTTGTCATAAACAAGAATTTCTTCAAGTTCATCGAGCGTTTGATCATCGGAGGGGCTAGAGGGAGTTTGTTGCTGCTGTGGCGATCTATCAAAAGTAACCCCGGGATCACTAGGATT